AGCGGGGGGGGGGGGGGGGGGCGACTCAATGCGGGATGGATTGTCTCGGTTCTTTGGATTCTTCAGCGAGGACTTCCACCTTGGACATACGGCGTACCTATGGACGGACATTCCACACATCAGTGCGCATGCATAGGTACAAAAACAAGAAGCCTGGAGTTCCAAGTCCCGACACTTATCCGTACCCATTCCACGTGTCGTTTCGAGACAATGGGGACGCGATCAGCACACAGCCATCCACGGCCGTCCGCTCGCCCGAGTTTGAGAGTCCGATGTGCATATACCGGTACATCTACTCCGACGGCTCATCTGCATCTCGGCTGGACGTTGCATCTCAAATTGTGTGTAGTGGGACGAGCCCACCGTTTCCATTTCGTCACAGAGGGATCTCCCCCACAGCCACAAAATGCTTGACAGCCAAGGCGGCCGCATGGGATGAGATGTGAGCCCCCCGGGGTGGATTGGATGGATGCGCACACGGTGCATCTCACAGTGTCTATGTTTTGCCAGTGAGTGAATGTGTGTGTGTGTGTGTGTGTCCTGCTGGAACGGCGAGGACACGTTGCCAGGTTTCCGATTCGGTCTGTCGTGGTGAATGCGGGTAGTGTTTACTTATTGTATGTCAGGAGGAATGAGTGAGAGGGTCACTCATGGTGGGATGACTCACTCAAGACTCACTCATTCAAGACATACTCAAGATCTCGCTCACTCAAGATGCGTTCACTCAAGACAAGCTCTGCCGAGATGAGACAAACTCACTGGCGGACCTTTCGACGACCACATGCACTCACCCCCCTGCCTGTCAATCTCATCGCTAGATAGAGGTTGTGCTTGTACATGTACTTATGAGAGGTCGGGTGATTGATGTGTGAATGGTGGAGGAGACCGAGATCTCGTGTATATGTACTTTTTCTTATGCATGTAGTCCGTCCTACTCTACTACCTACCCCCCTCTCCCCAAACTCTGCCATCTGACAGTCTGGTAACCTGGAAAAGGGGGAGATAGCGAGTACTGTACGGAGTATTCCCTGGTGTACTCCGTAGGTAGGTAATAGTGCCCAGACTGGGCACTCGTGGAATGAATCGTAGCGCCAGCCTCCCGCCCCTGTTCCCCCGGTTGCGCGGTTTAGCGTCGTGTCAGTCAGTGGCTTGCGTCTTCTGCTGTCCTTGTCTCCCTTGTTTGGTCGTTTTGATGTTTCTCCCATTGTCGTTGTCATGATGCTCGTTCCTGTCTCGGTAGTTCACTGGAACGGAGCGGTTCTTCAGTGGCTACATGATAGTTTGCAACTTGATTATTATTATTATTATTATTATTATTATTATTATTATTATTATTATTATTA